ATGGGTGATAGGATATGATATGATATTGTCTATCCAGCCATTAATGGACTTTTCCTTCCCTGTCCTGTCTTTGCCTGTTTACAGACAAAACCAGCCCCAGAGTAAGAACATGTTTCAATCAGCAGCGCCCCAAATGCCTAGTGACCAACGGCAGGTCACTTAGTTCAGGCAGTTTTTGCTGTGTGCAGACCCTGCATGCGGAATATGCTCAACCTAAAAGCAGAAACCTTTTGGTTTGAAGCTAACACAGATAAAAGTCAAAAAAACCTAAGAGGCCACGAGGCTGGGCATGAGCACATTCAGCACCCCCATGGCAGAGAGCCCCAAAGAGCCCCATCAGTCAGGTGGACAAGGATCCACCCTGCTGCTCCCTACAACAGGTCCCCAGAGGTACCAAACTCTTGTCCTCCAGCACCAAATTTCCTTTAGGGTTTCGTACCTTTACACATTGAGCAGTTTTTCACTTGTTTCCTCAAGTCATTGCTTGTGTCTGCTTCAACCAGTAGCCTGGCCTCCCTATACCTTAGACCTCCTCATTTTCCCATCCTACAGCTTGGCAGTTGGAGCCAGAGCTGGCCAAGGATTTGGACTGAGATGGGCAGATCACTGCAGCTTTATGACAAGCCAAAGCAGAACCCTTTTAATTTTATTTCTGAGGTCAAAAAAGTCAGACCTGTCTGCCTAAATTCTATAATGAAAGCAAGGTTTAACCAGCAGCTGTACTGCTCAGGGCTGGTACATGGAGATTTCATTCACTTATGTGGGTTTTCTCCTTACCTGTGAGAAAAATGGATTACGTAGAGAAGAGACATGATGACTATGACTCTATGAATCATCCATTTGATGTCCTGGTCACAGAGGCTGCTGACATACCTGTACAGGTGGTCTGCAACCACGGACAGGAAGAAATTCCCTTCAGCTCAGTGCAGAAACTGATGTAGATTAACAACAGGCTGCCCTTCCAGCTGTCATGTCTGTGTCCTTTAGTGGTGTGTAGCCACCGCTCTAGTGGGAGGGACTTTCTCAACCTCAGCTCTGCCCATCACAAAGGCACACATGGAGAGCATTATCCCATTCCCTGCTCTGGCAGTCCCTCACACAGCAAAGCATTTTCATACGTAATCAAACTGCATCCCATGAGCTGCCAAATTTTCAGTCATGAGTCTATTTAGGAAAACAGTCATTAGCACAAAGCACTTCTTAAGCCTTTGTGAAGGTCTTCATTCACATTGCCTTTAAGTAAGTCCTCATTCAGTTTTTCACTGCACTTACAACTTTTTTCTTTAAATCGAATAGATTTACCTCATAAGCATTTCCCTTCCAGTGTTTTTACTTCATATAGATCAGAAATTTTTGTTACCTATGAAGCTCTCTAAAGGGTTGGTGGTTCTTGGGCACCTTTCCACAGACAGGTGCAAGCAGCGTTGAGCCTCCCAACTTGAAGCTGGTGAAATATGAGGCAGCCACATGGGAAATAGGAGAGTCAGAGCTAAACAGCTCTCTTGTAAAAACAAATTGCTTCATAAAATACCTTCGAAAGGTTGTTTGAGGTTTCTGTTTGCACTTGTTAGGCAAGTGCTGCTTTCTGCTCACAGCTTCAAGCCTAAGCTGTGTTAGAGAAGAAATACCATATGGATGTTACTGGCAAAGATGATTTGGGCTTGTCATCACCAAAATGTCCCTGGGAGAGGTACGGCCTCTGTCAAGGCAGGACCAGAAACTTGGCTCTAAGGAGAGGAGACCAGTAAGACAAAGGTGCCCAGAAGGCAGTGATATAGGAAATGCCGGGGCCAGCAAAGGGCCAGCACTCTCTGGATGCCAGAAGAGCAAAACTAAAGCTGTCCCCAGGTGAAAAACAGGTAGAAACTGCCACTGAGAGAATCTGCTTATCAGATCTGTTATCTGTTCTCTGTTGGAAGAAGTTGTCTTTGACAGTGCAGGAATATCATCACAAGATTTGCTATTGGGATCTATCAGACGCAACAGATTATTGTGATCCACAAAATTATCTGTAAAGGTATTATCAATTAAATTTACTAGTAGTGCCAAGTCCTGATAAATTTCACACTTTCCATCGTAGTTTAGAGTAACTACAGTTTTATCAACTCATGTTTTTTAATCTGTATTAGAATGTGCTTTTTTGGAGGTATTTTATAAATGTAGATCTCATGTGCAGCTTTTTTGTGTAACTACTAGTGAAAACTAGTTGATAAATGACCCTTGTAAACTAAAATGATACTGGAAGTAAAGTATCAAAAATTATTATTTTACTTTTACTTTCATGTATAATTTTGGTATTTACAAGATATTGACATTTTAGAAATTAGACCTGTGAGAAGTATAATTATTATATAGATTTACATTTTTTCTGGTTTTCTCTGTGCTTCTTGAAGGTGAGGAATATCTGAATCTGAGGAAGTGTCTGTCAGAGGTGAAGCAGAGAATGTGTAATTTGCTACTGCTCCTTCTCTTAAGCCATGGTAATCCTAAACCAAACAAAAAATGGAAATAAGGAGTTACCAGGACCTATACAATAATCTCTCCACACAGATACTCTTGGCTTTATCTGTGTTTTCAAAGCCCTTGCTATTCATGCCGGGCTTCATTTGCACAGTGACTCAAACACAGGACTAATAATACTGGTAATACTACTACTAATAATAATCTTGACTCCTTTCTGGTGGCTCTGTGGTGATTTTTTTCTGGTAGAAATGCAGGAGCTGTTTCCTGTAGCCACCCCAAGGCAAAGACTCCACATTACCACTGGTCTCCATGTTATGCCTGTACAGTACTGAATCCCAGGCACTCAGCTGAAAGTGGGTTTCCCTAGATGTAAGTAAACTCCTAGGGCAGTTTATCCAGTATGTGGCTGAGCTTTGCTGTGGACACAGAGGCAGCCAAGGTGACTTTTTGCGAAAGCAGCTCAGGTCAGGCAGAGTTTTTGAAACTGAGTTTTCAAACTGCCATGCAGTTTGCACACCCTCCCGCTCCTCCCATGGCCCATCTGCATCTGGAAGCAATATAAGCTTGATAGCAAATCTGAAAACAAACCCATTGTGTCTCCAGCACGAGGGTGAAGTGTCCAGGTTTACCTGCTTTTCCTTGGTTCTTGGAGCTAAACCTTAGCAGCAGCTCTACCCCAAATACTTAATCTGAGCATTCACCTCTGTGCATGTGGCCTGTGGCCTCCCACCTGCATTTACGGTGTTTAGGAACAACAGACCAAGAATAAACCACAAGACCCATTTTCTAGGGAATTTATCACACAGTATTTTATTCAAAAAACACTTACTACTTTTCATTGAGAGTAATATTTTTTCACTGATTGGAAAGATTCTTGATGTATCTCAGCAATTGCTTCTTTGATTGGTAACATCCCTGGAAGGTTATGACACATTTAAGGCATTTTTCATAAGCGTAAGTTTTAAAATTTCAAGTTATGTCTAATTAGAAATGTCTTGTCAGTCTCTTAACCCATTAATTTCCCAGTTTCTGTTTTTCTGCTACTTCACTTTGGCAAAGTGCTGGACAAAGCAAACAGGAACTTGATTTTCTTACTCATCCATTGCAAGGTGCTTTAGAAAGATTGCAACACATTCTTGAATGTGAACAGGCTGAAAATTCCTCATCCTGGTGACAAACAATACACCGGGATATTTTAACGAAGAAGGAGCAGCATAAATACAAGAGTTGAGCAGAATAATGGACCTTGCTATACAGCAAAATAAATACCTGCTACACTATGAAAGTGTAATTTCGTAGCTATGCTCCAAAATTTCTCAATTTGCCTTCCACATACCGACAGAAAACGGACATGATTTGTGAACTTCATCATCATTATCAAAATATAATTATGTTATAGACAGTTGCTATTAAATCTACATTAGTAATTTTAAAATGTGCTCAGTCCCACAAAAATAGCACCTTTGCAAAGATACAGTCAAACTGCTGGAATCCTCAATCCCTTCACAGGACGTGGTACAACAAGACTTAATGCCACCAGGGCATTAAAAGCATCACAATCAAAGTTTTTGACTTTCCTCGCAATAGAGCCTTGTGATGAGCCTTCAAAACACTCTTCTTCACACTGTCGCATGTGACCAACCTTCCTTTCTAGCTCTCTTTACATTTTCCCTCTGTGTGGTCTTGCCATGGGAGTACAGGTTGAACCAACAGCACAGAGTAACAGGACTCAACAGGAGATTTAAAAATTACCCACTTTCTTTATACAATTGTTCTCTCTAGAACATTTTCTGCTTGAGGGACATTCCCACTTCAAGGGCAGAGAGGGAAAGGCGAGGGCAAGACAATTCCAGCTGGCAACCATGAGAAGAATACTTAAGGAAAATCCCAAAAGTTCAAGCACAGCAAGGCATCTTACTTCCCCTATCACAGTGTATCCCCTGCATCGTGCAAAATCACTAATTAGCTTCAGAATCTCTGTTACTCTGAATATTTTCCTCTCTACAGGAAAGAAAATGCATATGAACACCTGATAAGTGTGTTAAAACAATAATCACCTGCACAAATATATATATGAACTCATCTTGTAAATCAGACCTGCTACCATAGCTCCTGATTTAAAACACCTCGTTGTGCTGATGCCAACTTTCAATACATCTCAGCCCCTGTAGTGATTCGTTTTCAGGGAGGTTTTAAGGAGTAAGAGTCACTGGCATGTGGCATAAAGGTTCTGATCCTTCCTGCAGCTGTTTCTGGTGACTTTTGGGGTCTCCTGCCCAGCTTGCCAGCATCTCACATGGTGCTAAAATGGCAAAGTCTCAAGCTCTTACTGGCTATCAGTGCTCCCCAGTCATACCACACACCTCTCTGGAATATCACACAGGTTTTCAGGCCAAACCCTTCCCCTGTATGGGAATTTAGGCATCGGCATTAAGGAAACTGCTAAGTCAGCAGAGACAAGGACTAACTAACTATCTTTTAAAGATGAAATGAATATGTAGAATCACATAAATATAAAAAATACATGAAAGAAAAAGTTTTAGTTGCAACAGTTCTTAGATCCTTTTTCTAGCTGAGTGTTTTTCATAAATAAATGTGAACACAGAGGTTGCTGAGTGCAAAATGTCTTTCTTATGGAACATTTGTACATGTCCACTCTTGCACAGAGGTGCTGAGCTCCATGGACAATTCACAGCTTTCCTAGACACTCTGATAGCCCTGGATAGGGCTGCTGAGGATGTTTTTTCATGTAAATCAAGAGATAGGCCGTTTCTCCCCTGTAGAGGCAAAGAAAAAGCAAAATGCGATGTAAATGTTTGAAGATCTAGGTCGCAAGTAACCTCCCAGGTTTGCTTCTGCTCAGCTTTTCGTGGTTTGGATCAACTAAGCTGACCCTTTCCAGTGTTCCTGAGAGAGCATATAAAGCTGACTCCCTGTCAGCACTTTAGCTTATAGGAGGGATTATCTCCCTCTTATAATTATCCCCCTCTCATAAGCTATTTTGTGATGCATCAAAACAAAAAGCATGGAAAAATCCTGATTGACGTATCTAACTGCAGTCAGCCCCATTTGTGACTAATCAGTAACCCTAGAGGCTCCCAGTATAGTCATATGCAGTCCCATCAGAGTAATCAGAATACAAGGATGCCTCTTCTACTCTCCTGCATACCCACTACATCCCAGGCAATATGCAATTCAAATCACTTATCTTCCCTCTCTTTGCTACCCTCATTCCAAAGTCCAGAGCAGCATTAGGTAAAAACAGAGATATGTTTGCATACCAGTGGAGGTTGGAATGTCCATAGGTGCATTTAACATCATCCCATGATACCTAGAGAAGAAAAACACACAAGAGGAGGCTGGTAAAAACTCTTAGGAGATGGACACGTTATGATACCAGTGCACCAGTTCTCATAAGAGTGGTGGAAGTGGCACTTCCAGGAACTAAGCACCTTTTAATAAATTGGTTTATTGCTTTACGAGGAAAAACAGTTCCTCTTCTAACTCAGCAGAGTACATAAAGTAGGGGTATACATCAAATGGCTGCTTTTGCAAGTCACAAAGCAGAACCTGAGGCCTTGTTTGGTGCAGAAGCAAGAGCCTGTAGCAGAGGTGCACAAAGCTCTGCAGCTCCAGTTTCTTTTCCTGATTCTGTTTAATTAGGAGTCAGTCAGACTAAGCAAGATCTGGAGGAGTGGTCAGGAAAGTACAAAAAGAAACGTGGACTGATCTCCTCACCTGGCGAACCTCAGAATCATTAAAGCAATACCATTTACACTCTGTGAGGCTTTGAATGTAGGCACAGTAATGTCCACAACTAGCTGATCCTGAATGAGCAACAACAGCAAAAAGGCCATACTGCCAAGTAGCCTGCAAAGAGACACAAAGAGTAACTTTTAGTGCAGCAATTCTCATTTGCCATTGACTGAAGAGAAGCAGCACCCAGGACAGCAAGGACGTGGATTTTGTAAGGAAAAAGGAAGAAGAGCAGATTAGCCTTGAGGATCCTGCCTTTTTTGCTCTTACCCTCATAGTTTTGCCTGCCAGCTATGGGCTGGCAGCCTCCCTGGAGACCACAGGAATGTGAAAAAGGTAGTAGAACAGCAAAGGAGTTACACTACAGACAACATCACACTGGTGACTTTTGCTTTTGCCACATTTCCCCTTTTTATTTCACAGTAAGGGGGACAGATCCACAGTGGGGCAGATCACTCTCATCTGCTTGGCAAAGCTGTTGTTTCCTTGCTAAGCTCAAGTCTGTGGCCAACAACACCGCATGGGAAATACCAGGAATGGAGTTCCCCTGCCTTGGACTGGTGAGATATGTAAAGCCTGGCTTTTGTCCTTATGGCAGGAAGGTCCAGTCATTGTGCCTTTGGTGATTGAGCACAGAATGCTGAATAATGACTGAACCAGTTAAAACCATGGGATGTGAGGCAACACCAGACACAGGTGAAAGATGTCTGTGACAGATTTTTAAGACAGGCACTTTGAAATCAGGCAAGTACTGCTGTGATCTCTTAAAATTTTGAGACTTGAGCAGAGAGGAGAAGAAAATCTTCCCTTTTTTAGACAGCCTTAGGAGTATCTCACCTTTTCATTGTCATCTGCTTGGCACTGATTTTCTGTCAAGACTCCATTGAAATCAAGGTCCCGTGGGAATGGGAGATAGTGACTAAGCTTGTGCGTGTAGCATGATTTTTCAAAGCAGAAGCGCTTTAGGTGTATGGTCAGAGTCTGTGGCAGATAGACGAGCTTCATGCTCTGTAAAGCAATAAATAATGTGATTGAAAACTAAGGAATAAACGCTGGGGAGGTAGGCTGGAAACAGCCATTGGCACCCAGTGCACATAGCATGGAGAACAGTCAGTGCTACAAGTGAATGACTGCCAATTGCATCAGACAGCAGATGCCAAACCTTTGTAGACCGTTTGCTCACAAGACACATAATGGAGCTGTGATAATCAAGTTTCTCAGCTTCAGTGTGATCAGCACCCAGGCTCGGGTGTGTCAAGGGCTGCTTCATTTCTCATCTGCTTTCCTAACCCTAGATTGGTAGCACTAGGTAGGGTGAGGAGAGGCAAGCCAACTTCTTTGTGACATGTGACCACTGGAGCTCCATGAAGGATGTCAAGCTGACAGCTCATTTCTTCCAGCACTGCCTGTTGCTGCCACGGCTGCCACTAAGACATATGGATTCATTGTGGCCTCACAGGCAGCCCAACAGTGAAAATGTTTTCGGAAGTTCCCTCCAAGCCTTGTGCTAAGGCATTCTCCCTCACACTGCTCTCTTTAATGCACCTGCCTCTTCATGAAACAGCTAATTCATCATCTGGCACAGACTGATACTCTGAAAAACGGGGAGCCCAGTGGAGAGCAGGGAAGAAAGGAAATCCTCCTACAGTATCCTACTTTTAGGTGTATGCACAGTTCAAGTAACATATTTTTGTCCACCTCTGCAGCTACGCAGCAGTAAAGGCCCACAGCGGACACACAGAATAAACCAACAGAAGCTCCTCTTCTCTGTGACAGAGTAAAACTCATGAAATCCTTTGTAGCAAGAGCTATGTCTACAGCAGGAAACTTCCTAACAGGAGGAAAGATGCATGTGGTTTATACCTTGCTGATACTTCTGTGCTGACAAATCTGAGTTGTTGATCTCCTCTTAAACTGATATGGTTGAGTCCTTTCCCCACTCTTCCCGTCCTAAAGAAATTTCTCTGTGTGAGAGACTTATGGGAAAATAATTCTCTGATTACCTGCAAAAAAGGTGTTTTCATTCCACACTGTTGACAGAAACACATGTTTTGACCAGTCAGCTGTTCTGGATGGAAAAAGTACTGTAAACAGTCCTCCTATGAAGACAGAGGAGATTTCTTTCAACTGAATTCCGTCAAGCTGGGTTTCTATTTCTACTTTATTTCACAGAGCACAAACAAACAACAAAACTACAGAAGGCATATTTTATTCAAAGGACAAAAGACTGCCTAGCAGCCTAAAAAAAGGTACCCCGTTTTTCCTAGCTTTTATTGTGATTGCACTAGTTGGGGAAAAAAAATAGGGTACCACATTTTTCGCAAAGCAGATGTTGATGTATACGTGTCTTTTATACCTACTTCAAAGCTTTAGAGGTTTTCAAAGAGTAATGATGAAAAAGTATAAAGTGGTCAGGTGGTCCAATGGTGAACTGGCACCTCAAAAATCCACTATATTTGTGGCAGCACCTACACAGTCACCAGCACTGCTCTATCTGCAGCACCGATTCAACAGTGAAAGAACACTGCACTGGGCAAACGCAGTGTGTCTGGCCAGGGATTCCAAGTTATCTAGGGCACCTCACTGTGGTATCTAAGGTCTCACAGGTACACATCACTGTGTAGTTTAAGTCTTTGAGTCTGTTACAGAGTATTTAGCCAACACTCTTTTTAGAAAGGTGATTCACGGACTTTATTTTCCAGCCCCTAAATCAAACAAATTTTTTGAGACCTCTAAAACTCTTCCAAACAAATAAGAAATGTGAAGGAGAAAAGACCACCCCCTGGTGGTCTCAAACGCTCTATAGAAATCTTGCAGAGATTCTAGATACGACACAGGAGACACCAGTGCTGCAAGGAGATGGCTCCCACAGTGAACAGAGGGGAATCTTTCTCCTAAGGGAACAGTGTTGCCACTAAACTTACCAGAGTCTTCAGCCTGTGAGAATTGGAATCCAACACCGGCAGTGGAAGGGTTAACATGTTGCTGTTGTTCTTTATTTCAAAAGAGCAATTCTGACAGGCCAGATGCTCCTGTATGCAGATAGTGTACAAATCACTCAGCTCTTCAACCTGGAGGGACAAAAAAAGGCCAAAACAAGGTTTATGAAGATGACAGACAATGTATTTCCTTGTGGGTGGAAAAGTCCACGTGCACATGTTATTTCAAGCCAGGTTACTGCTTTAATGTTTGAACCAAGATCTAACACTGACTTATGCTGGCAGGCCACTTCCCACAATTTAAAGGAGGACAACTCCTTCCCCTCATCCCCTGTTAGAGGGGAAAGACAGCCTATAACAAGATCAGAACACTTAAATGTCTGCTTTGATGCAGAATTGTACTGTTTTGTTTGAAACTGCAAAAGAAGCCTGTCGTCTGTATGAATAAAACTATGACTGAGTCAAGGAAGAATCACTTTTCTCTTCCCAGTCTGATAGAAGAAACTGTCATATATATAACGTACTAACAGTGACTAATTAGAATGAAATGCACATGGCTGACTTCAAAAAATGGAAAAGCTGTGTCAAGGCATGCCAATAAATGCTTACAGAAATTTGGGGGGAAAAAAACAAATGAAAGAAAACTAAATTTGATGTTGCAAAAAGATCAATTTTTTACATATTAATCAACTCTCCCATTAGAATGGAGACTCTGGCATACCCTAAAAGTAGGAAGAACAAACATTAACTGTAATTCAAAATGTTGTAGGTTATGAGATCAAGACTTCCTCTCCCATTTGAAAGATGTGAGGAAAGACCCAAACAGGGGATGGATAATTTTAAGAATTTAACTTAAGACAATTGTCAGTGAACGGGATCCTTCTTCAACGAGCAGAGGAAACAACACATGATAAGGGCCAAAGGACCTGGTGTTCATTTCAGTTACCATCCTTACCAGCTCTAGCTTTTTCATCTGCTTCTTTATCAAGTTCCAGAGACGCAGAAACAGCTGAGCAGCATCATGCTGCACGAACACTGGACAAACAGAAAATACAACCCCAATAAGTACTATGAACAGCACCAAGCACAGACTTCCCACAGATGGCAAAGGGAGAGTTATTGTCCCCCATTACATCCAGTTTCTTGTCCCTTGCCACTCCCTGCCAGGGACAGAACTTAGACTGGACAAGAGCTGCAATCTCTCTGTGTGACCTGAGCAGGCAGTGGGAAAAGATAAGAGGGCTTGCACCACCCAGTGCTAAAGTTGTGTACTTGACACCACGTGCAAGGCCAAGAGTACACCAAATACCTACCAGAAAACAGGGCTCAGGTGTCTCACTGATTTGAGAGCTGTATTTCATAGCATCATAGAATGGTTTGGGTTGGAAGAAACTTAAAGGACATCTCTTTCCAACCCCCCTGCCATGGACAGGGACATCTTCCACTAGAACAGGTTGCTCAGAGCATTTTCCAACCTGGCCTTGAACACTTCCAGGCATGGAGTATCCACAACTTCTCTGGGCAAACTCTTCCAGTATCTCACTACCCTCAGAGTAAAGAGGTTCTTCCTAATATCAAATCTAAACCCAACTTCTTTCAGTTTAAAGCAATCACCCCTTGTCCTATCACTAGATATCCTTGTAAAAAGTTCCTTTTGAATCCTGCTTAGAAACAATACAGGGAAGATTCTGTTCTCTTTTTCACCTTTATTACATCACAGACCTTTTTCCACCCGTCCCCTAGTGAAGGCTATAATTCTCCTGAGTGCTGAGATAAAAATACGTCTCACACACCAAATAGTATAAACCCCTTGATCTCTATCCAGGCAAAAAGCATATGGTTTCAGCACAAGAAGCCAAGTATGATGAAGTGACATTATGCTTTGTCTTTCCACTCTGGCTAAATTGGCATATTAGGAAACCTAAGGTGGTGGGATACAGCTCAATGCACAGCTTGCTTAGAATGGCTCAGCAGGGAATTGCTTCAAGATTAAACTTAGGGGGAAAGAAAAGAATCTACATCCTTGAACGTGAAGAACTGATTTTATCAACTAGTGATGAACTCAAGATTTAGGAACTGGGCAAAAATTACATGTGGTATAGCAAAATCATAGTATTTCTGGACTACCTTTTTGCTTGATCATAGGTGGAACAAATTTTGTAGAATAATCCAACAACCTGATACGGAAGTGCTTTCAACTTCCCAGCAATGCAAGTGTGCAGGTACTGACTTCAGTTGTGTTCTAGTAAGATTACAGACATCTCTGATTAAACAAAGCTCAGAACATACACCTTTCCTCATGTCTAATAGCACATTCATGATCCAGGAAAAGAACCACTTTCTGAGATGTTGGAGTTTAGGAACCACACCTGAATTTTAAAGAAGAACAAGGTGGGAAATAGTCAAGCTTTACAAATTCCCTTTGGGCATCTCTCTTTGACAGGAAGAGAGAAGGCAGACTGCAAAGCCATTCAGAGTAAGGGGGGAAATTAGGCAAACAGAAATATTTAGTTTATCTTGCATTCCTCCTTAAGAAAGATGGCTGGCTACCACCTCCCCTTTCAGTGCTGTCCTGTTTGGGCAGGAGAGTTGGGCTGATTCCAACGGGACGATGTGCAACAAGGCCAAGTGCCAGATCCTGCACTTTGACCACAACAACCTCCTGCAACGCTACAGGCTGGGGACAGAGTGGCTGGAGAGCAGCCAGGCATAAAGGGACTTGGGGGTTCTGATTCACAGGAAGCTGAACATGAGCCAGCAGTGTGCCCAGGTGGCCAAGAAGGTCAATGGCATCCTGGCCTGGATCAGGAACAGTGTGGCAGCAGGACCAGGGAAGTGATTCTGCCCCTGTACTCAGTGCTGGTGAGGCCACACCTGGAGTGCTGTGTCCAGTTCTGGGCCCCTCAGTTCAGGAAGGATATTGAGGTCCTGGAGCAGGTCCAGAGAAGAGCAACAAAGCTGGAGAAGGGACTGCAGCACAAGTCCTGTGAGGAGAGGTTGAGGGAACTGGGGTTGTTCAGCCTGGAGAAGAGGAGGCTCAGGGGAGACCTCATCACTCTCTACAACTCCCTGACAGGAGGTTGTAGCCAGGTGGGGGTTGGTCTCTTCTCCAAGGCAACGATCAGCAAGACAAGAGGGCTCGGTCTTATGCTGTGCCAGGGGAGGTTAAGGTTGGATATTAGGAAGAAATTCTTCACAGAAAGGGTAATCAGGTATTGGAATGGGCTGCCCGGGGAAGTGGTGGATTCTCTGTCCCTGGAGGTTTTTAAGATGAGATTGGATGTGGCACTTAGTGCCATGGTCCAGTAACCACGGTGGTGCTGGATCAAGGGTTGGACTTGATGGTCTCAGAGGTCCCTTCCAACCCAGTTGATTCTATGATTCTATGATTATACAATAAAGATCAGGACATTTGGATACACCCTGTGAATTTGTACACATAGACAGACTCCCAGCATCCTACTGTCACCAGTCACCCATGCATTCAACAGTCTCTCTCCTTTGGGACTTTGACCAGTTGGGAGATTAAGACAGTAAATTCTTCTCTCTGCCCTTATAAAAAGGAACAGGAAGTATATAGTTTCTATTCCCAGGGATCTGTGTGAACTTATCTTTTCCACACTATCGCTTTCTTCTAATAAGTAACAGCAGCTATTTCACTATTATGATGCCAGTACAGCAAGACAAATCAAGCTACAAGCTGTCTTCTCAGCCCTGAACAGCCCTTTCCCTTTGGTCAATATCTGTAGCTGAGTCTTCCAGCAGTCTGATAGACTGCTCTCCCTTTGGACATCAGCAAGGACATACAGCAGGGGCTTTTTTCCCCCCTCTTCACAAGCAATACACAGCATCGCACTCACAAGTGGGAAGCAGCTATAAAGAGCACTACATCATCATGTACCTAACTCCTGACATTTCTGCATGGAGATGCTGGAGTCTGCACTACTTGTTAGTGCTGGGTAATCAACACCCTGGTTTGCAGGCAGAGGTGAGCACGAGGCAGTGCTGCTTACATTCCACTCTGTGTGCTGAAAGGCAGCAGGCGAGTTCCGTGGGACGAACAGCTTTGCACTTGCCACGTTGCATCTTCTCCAGCAGCAGGAGCATTTGGTACGGGACATTGTTCCTCTGCGCAGCACACGGTGGCACTGTGATCCTATAAAGGGAAGAAGCAACACAAATGGTCATCAAGCAGCACAATGGAGAAATATTAGACATCACACCTGAAGGAGCAGAGGTAAGTAGCCCAGCTAGCAACTCAAGAGGAACCAAAATGGGTATATTTTCAGCGAAAGAAGGAAAAAGGGGAAGCAGTCACCTGCACTAGCTCACCCCACAGTGCAGGCTGACAGTTCTAAAGTGAAAAGCCACAATGTTAAGTTGGCCTGCTCCTGAGTAAGGGACAAGCCAAGTAGGACCTCAAGTGCTTTCTGGGCTATAGAAATAACATTAGTTACAGCCAGTTTCAGAGCTGTTCTTCCCTCCCACTGATTCATGTCCTCATTCTCAACATACCCTCAAAATTTCATGGGCACAAAAATCATAATGCTTGTATTTCAACTATATGCCAACTGAAAAGTTCTTTATCCTCCCTAAATTTATTGCAGTTCACAGGTTTTTCTAAGTCTTTCTTCTAATAACCGTGGTAACCTACTGTCTACATTATTTAGCTTTGCCCATTCATGACACTTCGCATCTCTGCACGTCTGTAACATCTTCTTTCACCTCTGCACAGTAGTGAGCGTCTAAGAAATGTAGAGAAAGAACTGAATAGGAATGATCCACTTAGATGATTAAAGCTGCAGTGAACTGAGTAAATTGAAAACAAATCAAACTAGTTATTATTGTAGTTGGTAGGGAGGCAGAAGCCCAAATCCTCCTCACAAACAACCAGGGAGAACAGTCAAGCAAGACAAAGTAAAGCCATGTATTCTTGATCTGCAACAACATTCTTAATCTTCTCTATGAGGTGCTAACCAGGGCAATCAGGGGCCAGAGGCTGAGGATTACTAAATGTTTATGTTTACATGCTTAAAGTTACAAAATTAATAGTGGATACGGTTAGGCACAACACATCCTTTCTTAAAAAGGCCTATGAGTAAACCTGGAATAAAATCATATCCTCTTTTGGAAAAGAGAGATACAAGTCATAAAGACTCAGTTCAGGACTGCAGCTTACTGGTCTGCAAAGGGCACACACATCAAAGATGACTAACAAGTCAGAATACTGCAACTTCTAGTTTTGCAGGCCCTAGACTATGTATGACAGACACAACAAGGCAGAGACCTTGCTGAGGGAGCTGAAAGCACCTTTGATAGCCTCGATGATCTAATCCTTCAAATGTACATCCCATATGAAAAAGAGGGAGAGGCAACAAAGCAACAATGGAAGTATCTCTGGTAGTTCAAACAAGTGGTACCTTCGAAGTATCCCTGTGAAGTGTATATTCATGAGGAACACTTGGAGCAGAGAGTTCAGACAGCAGCTCTGTCCAAGGTTATACAGTCCAATAGCTCCTGTAGGAATAGAAAAAGAGGAAGTGAGGCCTGGAGATAGGTACAAGAAAAGAAAGTGAAAATTATTTGAAAGTGGAAAACTCCTCTTGCCATTCAGTGATAGAGGTCGAGCATCTTGGTCAGACCTGAAAAAGTGCTCGGTCTATTCTGTTGCTCAAGTAGATAACATTCGGTTTTGTTTGGCGATTGACAGGAAAAATCCAAGTAAGCCTGGATAATGATACTCAGATTTCTCCCAGTTCCTCTATTTTCAGTCCTCTGAAACCACCTGAAACACCTAAACAGAAAATAAAACCACAGGAGGCAAAGGCTGCCTGTACGAGGACTTTTTAGTCTTTTACACAGCAAAGCCTAACAAAAAAATGAAGAGCTCCATGTGGGACGAGATCCTAGCTGTCCATCACACAGGATTCAAGTTTCCCCTTCAGCCTGTCTCTGGTATGGTTTTTTTCAGTTTCAAAGAAAGGAACTAGCCTGAGAGAAGAAGCAAGTCACAGCTGTTCCTGCATCTAAAAAGGTGGCATGTTCTGTGCCCCACTGTGTAGGATCGTGACCAAAGCAAGCACAAAAAGGGTTAACGAAGCAGTGGACATTTCCAGAACAGAAGAGAATGTGGCAGAAGGTAGGAGGAAGTGTCTACAAGGTGTGTGGAGCCAAAGGTCGCGTGACCCAGAACAAGAAGATGATTGAAGAAAAGAAGAAAGCGTGTTGAAAGCTGATAGCTATAAAGATGGATGTTAGTTGTTTAACAGGTAGAAATATGCACACTGTAATTTTATAGGGCCAAGTATTGCTTGTTGATAGGTTGAAGAGGCTTAGCTAACAGACCAGAAACGAAACTAGTTCCTCTATAAATAGAGGCTTGAAACAAATAATAAACGATTCTCTTGCTGACCAGCGAGGGTGTCCGTGCCTCGGTCGCTACACCCCGCTGCAGTATACGTAACTGTGGTCAGAAATTAGAAATTTTGCTTCTGAAGTCATCACCAAAGAGAGAGAGGACATGGAATGGAAACCCAGAACACCTCTGAAATACATACAGTCGGTGGTAAGGGTGGGCCTAGTTCATGGTTTAGGAAATCTAGAATCAATGCTGGCTCTGTTTGGAAAGAGACAGAGCCACCACCTAGACCTTTTGGGCTGCAATGGCCAATTTGAGGACTTAAAAATGGGAAAAAGCTATGAGATCCTCATGCAATCCATTCCCCCAAAATGGTTATTTGGCAGGACAAAATGGGAATCATCTGCATATTCCTCAGTGAAGAAGTAAGGAATAGGAGAAAATGAAGCCTGAGGACAGAATATAGAACAGCAGCCATTAGAAACAGAAAATATTACAGCTAAGAACAGACAAAATATTTTTACCATTTTTTAAGTCTGCCACACCAAAGACTGATGTGAGCCTCCGTTCTTTGGCCTTCAGCTCTTTGACTTCATCTCTATTACTTTGTACTTCAGCTTCTGCCTCCATGGTCTCACTTAGTGCCAGATCTGGTTTCTTGCCTCTTTCTTGACGTCCACTGTTTTACCCCATCTACAATATTGTAAAAAGACAGAAGGATGTCAGAGAGACACAGCAAGATCAGAAAGAGTGGGAGCATCCAAAACCACCGGATTTGTCTGTGATATTTTCATTATGAAAAAAGTGAAATCACAGAATGGTTTGGGTTAGGAGGGACCTTAATCTAGTTCCAATCCTCCTGCTACAGGCAGGGATGCCACCCACTAGATCAAGGTTGCTCAGGGCCCCGTCCAGCCTGGTCTGGAACATCAATAAAATAAGTAAGATTACTGCAACAGCATTTGGTGTATTTAAATAACATGGGTATTGTAGCTGTGCAAGGTAACAGGGCTTAATGGCAATTGCTCATCCTGTCTTCCTCTTGAGGCTATATAAATAAATGAACCTTCAGTTCCACAGAAACAGCTCCATCTAACTAGAGAACTCCAGATATCCCTGTTAAAGAAGATTTCATAAATAAGATGATTAAAATTATCCCAATGGCAGATGTTGCAAAACTCCTATGTTTAGTAAAAGCAACATTTTATCACCTGAAGTACCCCAAGTATTCAAAAGGGCAAATTTCGCCTTTTTTTAGCCTTTTGACCTGATAAGCATGTTTGGTTTCTGTGCTGGGCTGTCTGCATTGTTTTTAAGTGCCTTAGTCACAGCTCTACTGTGGCACTTTGGACTGCAATTTTGAAAGACATTTAAGAACTGAAATATCAGTTTCTTTTTCTGTTCCTTCAAGTGATCACAGGCAAAGCAACTGTTTACGCAAGGGAACCATTATAATACCTTGACTGTCGACAGACCATTACTCTGAGACATTCTCCTGTGACTCAGCTACCGACTACTAAACCAAAGTAAAAATACACAAGCAAAACAATATGATAATTGTTCAAATGCAATTATACAAAATTGAAACTTTTTATAAGCCCACCTCCAACACAAAGAACAGAATTAGAAAAAAGTGGATATGCTTAGGGCAGCATTCACAGGTGAGGAGGGAGGACCCACAAAACAAATGCTCAGATATTATTATTTTACAAATATTAAACAGCACATAAAATGAACCTAAGGCCAGGTGCTGAAAGAATGAAGAAAAGCTACCAAGAAAGGGAAATAAGCAAAATATCCTGATTCCGCCTTTCACAAAAAGAAAATCTTTGTTTTAAAAGCATGTTTTCAGGTTAGCTGTGCCTAATAATGTCAAATATCAAAGCTCCTGAAGATTGAGGCAGAAAAACTAGAAATGGATTTTTTCCCAATTATTACCTTTAAGTTTAAGTATAATTATTTCCAACTGTACTTTTGAAGATTACTTTTGAACTCTGTCATACACTCATATTCACTAAAAATTGTAGAATTTGCTGAGAAGTTTATTTGGGAAAAAAACCCCCAATTCTGACAAAGATAGATTGAAGAATATTACTTTTTATATACCCAAAATCCAGTGATTAGAACAGCTATGGAGGAAAAGAGAAATTTTATTTGATTTCTTCCTTGGCAAAACAGTCTGAACACACACTGCCTCTTTCCTTGGAATTGATTTAACAGTGCATTCAGGTTTCTGAAAGCCCAGCTGGTGTGGGAGCCCATCTGGGCCTGTACCATGAGAACCACTCGGTTTAGCTGGTTGGCCTTAGCCAAAAGGCAAGGGATGCTCACAGTCAGTGAGGATGTCGAAGAAGACGGAAAGGAGAGGGACAGGCAGCGCAGAGGTAGCAAAAAAACCAGCTAGGGATGTAGCAGGGATGAGGCAAACCAGCAAGACATTACTTTTGTCAGGAAAGATAAGATTAAGGGTGGGATTAATAAGTAAACTCAGAGCTTTGGGTGACTTGAGAAATAGGCAGAAAAATACTAGGACATGAAGATGCAGGGGGATACAGAGAGAGGAGGACTTGGGTTTCTGGTTCAATGAAACTCTCTCCCAGGCACCTCTAGCAAGAACCCGGGTACTGGAGCAGGGACACGAATACAGTTTCCCAACCCTGGCATGGAACTGCCTCACTTTGGCTGGCTGTCAGCAATAAAGCATTCCTAAGATTTGCACTTGACCATCTTTCCCTTGCACAAGTGTATAAAAAAACTGGTGAGTGAGCTGAGGAACTGAGGAGCAGACTCCCCTCCTGCCCCCAATTTCTCCTCTCTCACCAGAGGAGCAGGGTTACTTAGTTTTTTTGCAGGTAGGACTCAGTACCTTCAAGTATGTGGCTTGGCTTCACCAAGCAACTCCACTAGCACTGGGCATCCTGTAATCATCTAACCCTCTACTTGCTCTCCCTCAGCCAAGCCCATCATTCTCCCTCTCATCCTGGACTGTTCCACAGTCCCTCTGCCCTCCCAAGACACTGGCTTCTCACAACAAACCCCCAGTGGTGCCTTCACGCCCTGTGCCTCGAAGTGCCCCTCTGCCTGAGGAGCAGCCCCATCTCTGCCCCTGGTCACCCCTTCCCCACCATCATCATCTCCTTTCCCCTCACGGGCATCTTGGGGCGCAGGTGGTGCTGGGGTGGGCGGTGGGCTGCAGGTGGGAAGGCCGGGTTGGATGAGGCTCTGAGCAACGTGGTCTAGTGGAAGGTGTCCCTGCCCATGGGAAGGGGGTTGGAACTAGGTATCTTCAAGGTCCCCTTCCAACCCAAACCATTCTATGATATTATGACTCTGTGATGCCCCGAGGTGCTCCTCGAAGGGCTCCAGCAAGGACTCAATGTGATGACCCATCCTCAAGGGGAAGTACCTAAGAGCGCATCACCTCCACACTTCTGCGAGATGTGACTGAAAGGAGACTTCCCACCCTGTTGTCGAACTATTCTCCCTTATTTCCCTCTCTTTTTATTACCTTCCCTCCCGGCACACTGCCCTTCTGCCTCAACCTATCTCACAGACCAGCAAAAAGACTTCTTACCAATTATCGCAGGACCCAGCAGCACTTCGAGCCTCGGCCGGACCTCACGTTCATACCGCACCTGGTGACGAAGGGGGCAGCGGGGGGCTCGGACAACGCGCCTGCCGCACCGGAGCGGCGCGGAGGAGCCGCTCACCCGGGGGATCCGGGAGGGCAGCGGGAGCCGGCAGGGCTGCGGGAGCCGGGAGGGCAGCGAGAGCCGGCAAGGCTGCGGGGCGGAGCGGGGCCGTCCCGCCGCTCGGGCTGCGTCAGGCGGTGGCAGCGCCCGCCCCGCAGTTTTCATTTCCCGCTCGGCCGGGAGAGGGGACAGAAAGTGAAACTCAGCGCCGCCCTGGGCCGCTTCCCGGCACGGAAAGGCAGCCGAGGGACCAGAGACCTCCCCCAGCTCAGCGGCCGCTCGCGGGGAACTGCTGAGGGTGGCACAGCACTGGAACAGGCTGCCCAGGGAGGCCAGTACTAAATAAATACTTGAGAAAAGCAGCAGTGCTTGGTTTTGCATTAAGGCTAAAGTATTTTTTTCCTGCTTTTCGAAAGCTGCTCAGGATGAGGAGAAATTGCTGAAATTCCCTCTGAATCCCCTAGCTGCTCGCTGTTGTCCAGTCTCGTGAAATGTAAGTAAAAGCAACTGCAGACGCTAAAAATGGAAATCTTTCACCCAGTCTGTTCAGAAACACACATTTGTAAAAGATTCAACAACACTGATATAAAGCAGAAGCAAGCAACAGCAATAAAGCCATTTGAAACCATTACAAGGACAATTTTAAAAAGTCATAAAAATAGAGTAAGTACAAAAATACATGCAATTCTGTAGTTCACTCAGCAACTTTTGTGTCACATTCAGTTTCATGAAAAACAAAGCTGATAGAACTATTGCTCAAGAAACAAAAACAACATAATAACCTACTTGCATGACAGTCTGATTTGATGCTTGGCATCACAGTTCTCAATAAACCCATACACAACACAACTATGTTGAAAAAATTATTCTATTAAAGCTGCTAATATTTGCATTAGGTTATCCTGTTTGCAACTTGCCTCTCAGAGTTCATAAGTTGATATTCAGTGCATGATCAATGACTCTCTTTTTCCGTTTCATTTTCATCCATGAAAAATACAATATTCTGAAAACCTCTCATTTTTTGAGGCGAGTGCCAAGTTTGATTCTGCATTTTCTCTAAGAGACAGTAAGAACAAATATAGAATTTTAGCACACTTCAACAAAAGTAGTAATGTATTTGACCTGTATTAAAGACTGTATCTGACAGAAGACACAAATAGCAGGCAGCCATCCATTCATAAAGAAATTATTCAGCATTAACATGGCCATAGCCTTAATGAATTCTTAATGAGATAATGCTGCTTACACTGATTTTCCATGAACAAAGTTTTTATGGCATTATACAGTGGACAGGCATATAATTTAAGGAGCAGCTGAGGATAATAAAGAGATGAAGCCCTCTATTTACCCGCCAGCCAGGAAAAAAATCACAGAACTCCATACATTCTTGTGATGGCATGATCTCTGCAGTGGCAAGACACAACTGTCACACTGTGTTACCATAGTGCACTTCCTCCATGAGGAATTACAAATGTCACATATTTAATGTGCTTTAGATGTGATTACAGCACCCAAGTTCTACCAAAACAGTATACGGTTTCCCAGTATTTTCATTACAGGTTTCTATTTCCAGGTATGTTTGGAAGTGTTTTTAAAAAATGCAGTTTGCCAAATTGATACCTGGTACAGAAAATGAGAGTGAAAAATCTCTTGTTAGGTATCAGTGTGAGACTTAGGGAGTTTTTTGAAACTATTCATTAGATGTTGCTTACAGGACAATCAGTAGGTCATTTTCCACATTAAAAAGAACAAAATTTCTTTTTAAAAAAATGTATTCTAAATAGGGAATCTCGAATTCACTTCTGGAAACAAAATTAAATTTGTATTTTCTTCTTGTATAGGGCTTCTTCTTGAACTAAAAATATTTTTTAATATCCAGGTGTAATCTTAGTTCAATAGGTGAAAGAAAACTCCAAACTAATGTCTGAAAAGTGGCATTATCTACAGAGGTCCCTCAGCCAACTTGTCCTTTATATATTAAATCCTGTAATTATGTAATCATA